ATTAGTTGAGTACTTGTTATATACTTTTATCCTAAAGAATTTTATTTCCTTATTGCGCTCAAATATAGCTCTCAAGCTGACAGTACGTTTTTTAGACTGGCTGTTTGGACCATTTGGCCTGCAAGAAATGGGAAGGTATTCAGAAACAACGTACTAGATGTGGATAGGCTTTTTGATCTTGTTCAAGGGAGGTCTTTTCAATCGATCAAGGAAAGAGTCGATGTTTATAATTTTACTTCCACCGATTGGATGCTAGATCCTGTAATGTTTATGGGAGCAGTCTCAGAGAGCTGGAGATTAGCAGTGAAAACGAGGGGTGGGTAAGGATAATACTGGCGATGTTTCGTTTTGTTTTTTGAAGGCTTGGTAGATTGGATGTAATTGTAGTTACAAAAATATATTGCATAGTTTAGACTACATATGTATTAAATAAATTATTAGATAAGGGTGTAAGTCTTCTAATATTGGAAACTGTCCTTTTATTTAATAATTTTTATTTTATAATATTGTATAATTTAAATTACAAAATAATTTTTTTTTTGTAATTATTACTAATAAGTGGTAAATTATAAGGGACTTAAATTTTCATTAGTTGTATACACAGTTTTAGTACCTAAATAACTAATAAATTTTGCTGTTAAACCAAAAAAAAAAAAAGACTGGCTGTTAGGATAAGTTGCTACTCGTTCTTCCTCCAAATTTATATGGCTACAATCACCACTAGAATTAATCCTTGTATCAACAACAGAACCATCACTGACAACCAAAATTGTTGTCGGCGAAAACTTTCACCACCCACAAGACAATAAAGTTGTAAGTGACGTGTATTATACCCACAAGATTTTTGGTAATTAGTTATCATCGTATAAAGGAAGTCTGACAACAAAATAAAGATTTTTGCCACTATTTTAGTTGATTCTGAAAATGTATTTCACAGCCATTTCAAAGGTTGATAAGAAAAAAAAAAAAAATTCGAACAGAAAAATTGTCTACTAAAATGTTATTTAGTACTACATTAGTACTTGTCATAAAATGATTTTGGAAATGATATTAAAGTATTGAGCAAAATACTCCTCTACAAATCAATATTAATTAGTTTTTTTTTTTTGAATAAGTCGTCAAAGCTCGCCCATGAGAGAAGAGAAATGTACTTTAAGTTAATAGGTTGCCAGTTGATTCAAAAGATTAATTCCAATCAATATTAATTAGTTATCAATCGAGTACAGGGAAAAATAAAGGAAAAGCTAAAAAAACAACTGTGAATTCATCATAGCTGCCACTATTAACAAAAATCACATAAATAATATTCTAAAGCAAAAAAAGTCATAACGATCAATATCATGAACACAATAAAATTCTAGAATAGAGGTCAAAAGTCACATAAGACAATAACAGTTGCTATAGTAGCTATGACATTCCTATTCATTTTCAGCTATGCTATTCTGTTGCTACAGCAGATATAATGGCTACTATTGTCAACACTGATATTAATAGATACTAATAATGCATTTCACTATGCATAATGACATTACAGAACAAGCAACAACTAATGACCAAGTATTGTTATACGTAAAGGAAAAGTAGTAATTAAAAGTAGTTGAGCAAAATAAAGTCTGCAACCGTTATAGCCATTTGTAAAACTGTATTCTGCAACTATATAAGCCATTGCGAGCAAACGTTATATATCCATTCATTTCGAACGTTTAAAAAATTTTTTTTTTCCTAACTTCGGATGATGTTTTGAAAAATAGAATTCTACAATGACATATAAGTGGTTTCCATAAAATGAATTTAACATAAAACTGTATTCTGCAACTATATAACCCATTGCGAGCAAACGTTATATATCCATTCATTTCTAACGTTAAAATTTTTTTTTTCCCTAACTTCGGATGATGTTTTGAAAAATAGAATTCTACAATGACATATAAGTGGTATCCATAAAATGAATTTAACATTGAAATGAATCATTTTTGGAAAAGAATAATACATAACTACATCAACTGTTACGATATAAATGGTTGGCAATGCAAAATGGTTGTTGTAGAAAATGGGATTTTTTAATAATAAATTAAGCCCGCTCATAATTGAAAGGATATTTGCAACAAGATTTTTTATTGTTAAAAATTTTAATACAAAACAAGGAATATAATTTCAAAAGAAAGAAAAGGCAACGACATTAGATGTTACAAAAACAATGAATTGAAACGAAAACCAATCACAATGGAAAAGTTTAGCAATAACTTAAGTTATTATGTTGGTACTCCTACATTTGTGCCCCACTTTCATTCTAAACTTGGTTGGTAGCTTAGCATCTTTCTTTCAACTTCAGCCCTTTAGCTATGACCGACAACTATGGTTGAAGGGGAAAGCTATGCATTCAAGAAGTGTATCATCTCTCTTAGATAACCTAGAATCCGATTCCAATTAGTAATAGGGTTTATTTAATTTGTACCCTTAAAATATAGGTTAAAAATGCAATAAATGTATTTTTTTTATAATTAATTCACATAAAAAATTATAAAAATTAACATATATTTTAACCTCATTGATATGTGAATGATTTTAATTGATTAATTGATTAAACTAAGTCAACATTTACACTTTTAATAAAAATTAATTACAAAAATATATATTTATTGCATCTTTATCTTGTACCATAAGAGTACAAAATAGAAAAACCCTTACAACTATACTAATATACGATTATGTATTCTACAATATAATTCAACTTGATTCTTCATATTTTTTTTTTTATCAGCCAAATAAAATTTTTTATTATTAATATAGAGTACAAGGGGTACTCTAACTCATATTTACAATACTCCCATTATCGTTATCAAAATTCAACTTGATTCTTCATATTAGGTATAGTTTAGAAAAGAAAACAGTCTAAAATTAAGAACCTAAATCAACAAAGAAGAAAACACATTTAACTGATCTAGTTTCAGGAAGAAGTACTGCTATTAAAGATGAAATTATAAATAATTAAAAAGGAATCGAAGAGACATAAAAAAGAGATAAAGAGAGAAATAATTAAACCCCATAAATACAAATTAACTAAAACAACTTAAAATATAAATGCAGCAGTACTTTCCCAATTTCCGATGGGACAAAGAGAGAGTGAGTGAGTCAGGGAATCTGACCTAGTGCTCGCATATTCATAGAGCTTTCTGGTGCTGGAGAAGACGATCAATCCAACTTCAGCATCGCAAAGGATTGACAACTCCCTCGCCTTCTTCAGCAATCCGTTTCGCCTCTTGGAGAAAGTCACTTGACGGTTGGTGGAATTATCAATCCTCCGGATCTCAATCTTCCCTCTCCCCATCCACTTCTGAAACAAAAAGGGTTATAATTTCCCTGCGCTCTCTTAGTCTCTCCTAGATCGGCAGAAAACAAACAAGTGCGAGCTCAGATAAACTCACCAAAGCAACTTCGAATTTAAAGAACGAAGAAAGATTGACTACGAATATGCAAGACCAAGTCAGTCAACGACAAATAGTTTAAATTCAAATATTGATGAAAAAAAGAAGAAAAGGAAAATATGTAGAAAATCTTACGAGGTAATTATAGCAGGCTGCTGCTGGTGGAGTTGGAACGAGAAAATGAGGAATACAGCGTTTGGAGGACTGTCAAATGCTCCCTATTAAGGAAAGCTGAAAGCGGTTTTCTAAGATGGGGAAAAACCTCCAATTAGGGACAAAACGTGGAGCCAAAAAACCGCTTCGAGGTTTCACTATTCAAATATATATATAATAATAGGGTAGTATTAGGAAATGGTCTGCCTCAAAACCCTAGGAAATATTTCATTGCTCTCACTCTTGAGAGTACGTAACTACCTACTCGCTTGGTTTTCATTACAAGTTTCACAATGAATCAAATATAACCATGTTGATATTCGGTAGAGAATCAGGGTCAGGGAACAACAGATCCGGATTGCAAAGACAAGCCTATGATTATTGCTATTCAAATTAATATTTTGATTATTAAAAACAGTGGATAACTACAACAATAAATAATTAATATATACTTTTTAATGGTTTTGAAGTTAGTTTGATATTTTCAAATAATTTAACTAGCTATAAACAAAGAAAATTAAATAAATTAAATACACTTATAATATTTTATGTTGTACTCTTTATAATTATTTGTGTGGCCATAATTATAAACCATAATTATAAACCAAAAGCAAGTGTCCTATAGAGTGAGCGAGTTTGCAAGTTTTCTGTGTTCTAGCGCGTGGGTGTAGATTATCCTCGGACTCTCAAAATACCCCAAGACTGGGACCTTGGTGGTGGATGTGGTGACTAGTGAGGTGTATCAACGTATTGAACATCAACACGTGTTGATACTTGATTGGCACCTTTTTTTATTTATTTAGGGATTGTCTTTTTCCTTTTTCTTTTTTAGGAAAAAGATATATGGGGATTGCCATTTTCTTTGAGGCTTCGGCTCTGTATAGGGTTGTCCTCTTGTCCTAACCATCTTTACCAATCTCACATGGCTTCAAGAATTGTACTATATGTTTAGTTTTAAACATGAAATTATAAGCAAAATTACCTAGCCACGACA